AGTTGTTGTGTGTGTGTTTTAAGGCACTCACTGGTGGCATGTTGGTGGATTACTGGGCTTTAGAGATGTGCAACACAGAATCTTAAACAAGGGGTACTAAAATAATGGAGAAAGGCTTCCAAAACCACTTCCATAATGTACATGGAAGTTATATGTTCAGAATGAAAATCATTTCATTACTCAGGTGTTCACTAGCAGTTATAACCAGCCTTTTAGTACAGTACTCTCTGATTAATAAGACACAAAAGTTGGAGACTGAAATTTTTTCAGAATGATGGACCTATCATTGCCCTGAGTAGATACATATTGTTGTTCCATTATAGCCTCTGGACAAACACAGATTTGTAGAGCTTCAAAATTTGATTGATCAGAAATAATTTGAGGACAAAATTGTTCCATCATCCCACCTCAGCTCTCTGAGTAACTGTTGCTTCTGTCAGTCATCAACACAGCAACTGATCTATAAGAGGTACCTAAGACGGTCATTTCCTTCCTAGCTATGCCAGCTTCTCTGACTGCATGGAGTCCCTATTTAAAATGAGTTTAAGGATACATGCTTACCTTCACCTACAACCCCAAGGATCTCAAATTTATTCATCACATTACCAATGTTAGGAATCTTCATGAAGACAAATTCCTCATGGGATGACAGTGGCACAACATAGCACTTCAGAGAAAATCTGAAGTCTCTGCAGCAGACAGAAGACCAGTTTTTCTATATTATTAAAATATTTCATATTCCCATATTAACTTCCGTTTAGTAAAAGATTCCTGTGAAGAAAAAAAATTAGATTTAGTCATCATTGCTTCACATTTTTTTAAAATTAAAGATAAATTATAGCACATTGAGTATATATGAACTTTATTTTCATACTTTATTAACTTGCTATCTACAAGTTATTTACTTATGGAGAAAGTTGTTCCAGATGCATTATATGATGGTGACAAATCCACAAGCTGTAGGTTTTATACCAAGATTTATATACAGTGAATAAAAAGCAGGACTGTGTTCTCTGTTTCCTTAGGAAAGAAAACAGGGCTGTACTTACCTGTAACTGCTGTTCATCGAGTAATCCTCTGTGCAGGCACACATTGGGACTGTGCTTGTGCAGGTCTGCTGCAGAGATAACTTCCAAAGCTTTCCAGTTCTCTCTAGAACATTTGGAGCGCTCCCCCTCCCCTTCAACATGAGCTGAAATTTCCCCCCCAAAACCAGTATGTGATGGAGGTGGGGAGAGTGCTCCTTCCCTCAGTCCTCTCTTTGCCCCTGTGGCGAAGGACCCACTGAGCAGAGGAACCCACAGAAAGGAAAGGAGGGAGGGATGAGTTTCCTGCACATAAGACCACTTGATGAATAACAGTTACAGGTTAAGTGCAACCCTGTTTTCATCTTCATGGCTTCTGCCCAGTTCCACATGGGAGAATAGCAACCTCACTTACCAAAAGGAGGTGGGTATGGGATCCTCAGCTAAATAATGATTGAAGAGCCACTTTCCCCACAGCCACATGTCTCCTGGAGTCAATATCAATATCATAGTGTTTGATGAACATTGATAGAGAAGACCAGATCATTGATTTGCATAAGCTGTCCAAGGGAACACAGCCCAAAACCACTGCAGAAGACTGAGACATGGCCGAGTGAGCTTTTAAAGGGAAAGCGCAGTCCACTTTAGAGACAGAGGAAGCTAGCTGTATTGCCCTGACCCCCCCCCCCAACATGAGATGGTTTGTGCAGAGGCTGCATGTCTCTTGTGGGGACCAGCAAAGCATATCAATAAATTGTCATCCTTTCAAAAGAATGCTGTACAATCTAAATGAAAAAGTAATGATCTTCATACATCCTAAGTGTGTCATGCCCATTCCCTATCTGAGGTGGGGAAGGGGGGGGGGGAAATACCAGCAAGACTATGACTTGGGAAAGGCAGACAGTACTTTAGGGAGAAAGTCTAGACTCATCTGTAGGACCATCTTATCAGTATGGAATCTAGTGAACTGCAGCGTACATTGGAAAGCCCTGAGGCTCCCACCCTACAGGCAAAGGTATTTATCAACCGAAAGGCTACTTTGTAAGACAAGAAGGGCAGGTCACAAATAGCAAGGGGCTCAAAGGGCTTGAACATTAGTGCAGAGAGAACCAAGGAGAGCCGCCACTGAGGGATGGCTGGAGGGGCCAGGGGATACAAATTAAACAAACCATTTTGAAATTTCTTTGAAATCTGGGCAGAAAAAAAACAGAGGTACCACTGACTGAATCATGGAAAGCTGAGACGGCAGACAAATGCACTTTAATTGAAGTGACAGCTGAACCACCAGCTTTTAAGTGCAGTAGGTAGTCAAACACAGCATTCAATGGGCAAGACTGAGGGAGCAGCCCACAAGTAGACACCCGGAGAAAGAATTTTGACAACTGGCAGTGTAAGACTTCCATGAAAATAACAGCACTTGGGCAACCGTGTCCAACCAGCCTAGTGGTTGACCACTAACCATGCTGTCAGGTATGGGGACTGTGCATTGTGGTGGCAGAGCAGGCCTATATCAGGGAGATCCTCTGCCTCCAGTAGAGGGAGATGCTTGCACCCTTGAAGGAAGACCAGAGACTTGGGAACCACACCATCTCAGCCAAAAGGGGGCAATCAGAATGCAGTGGGACCTGTCTGTTCTGAGTTTGGCTAGAACCATGCCCAACATGGGGGTGGGTGGCAAGGCACAGAACAGAGTCCCCTAATGCATCTGCATTGGTCCCAGCCTGAAAACAAAATTGGGAGCATTCAATGTTCACATGAAAATTGAAGAGGTCCACCTGGGGCTGGACCCAGCACTGAAACAGAGGGAACAAATGACTGTCCATAAGGCACCATTTGTGTGCAGAGGTGGTATCCCTGCTGAGATTGCCTGCCATCTCATTTGCCAGTCTAGCAACAGATATGGCTTCTAACAATATGTTGTATTGGATAGCCCACTGCCACAGATGGGAAGCTTCTGCAGAGAGGGCGAGCAAGCCACTGCCCATGTTTGTTGATATAGAACTTTGCTGTAGTACTGTCTGTGGCTAACAGAACTCTCTTGTTGGTAACCAGGGCTGCAAGAGAAATCAAAGCATACCTAACTGCCCTGAGTTCTAAATGGCTGATGTGTAAGTTTTGTTTGATGGTGAACCAGGGACCACTAACACAATAGGAACCACAGTGCGCACCCCACCCCAAGATGGAGGTATCTGTAAAACTTTAGATATCATGAGAGGGAATTCCAAAATCAGAGCTCCACAATAAAATCTCTCACTGGGACCAGAAACCAAGGAACACGTTATCCTTCTAGGTACGGACAGCCTCTTCCATTGTGAGTCTTTCTGCAGACTGAAAGATCTTAAAAACCAATTCTGCAGAGGTCTCATAAAAAGGTGGGCAAAGGCCACACAATAATTGTTTAGGCCATGAGGCCTAATAGCCTGTGGATTGCTTTAACTGTTTGAAACCTATTGCTAGTAAATCTAAGCACCATAACCCGCAAAAAAGCTGCCCTGTCATGGAGAAAGAAGGTCCTGCTTTGATGTGAGTCACAAATTGGGTCCCAATAAACAAGACAGCCTGGGTTGGATACAAAACAGACTTATCCCAGTTAATTTGGAGGTCCAGGGAAGTCAGAGTGGTGACAGCCAATCAGATATGGTTAGACAACAGTTCAGAAATGGGTGCAATGAAGAACCAAATATCTAGGTAAGGGTATATACACTGCAATCTTGCAACTGTAGGTGGGCAATAACAATAAACATACACTTGGTGAATATCTGTAGTGTGTTGGCGATGCCAAAGGGCAAGACAGTATACCGATAACGTGTGGTTCTGCACTGGAAGTGACTTCCTAGAACTGAGGTGTATGGTGATGTGAAAGCAAGCATCTTTGAGGTCAACAATAGCACACTCAGAACCTCTGGAAAAGTGCTCATACGAAACTGTGGGACAACTAAGAACTTACTGAGGTCCCTTAGATCCAGAACTGGACATTTTACTTGGTCCTTCTTTTTAACCAGAAAATAATGAGAGTAAAACCCACTTGTAACATCACCAGAGGGAACAGGCTCAATGTCCCCTTTACTGAAGAACTGAATTACAGCAGGAGGTGGAACAGGTGGTGAGAAAACTGGTGAACAACAAACTGGTGGAACACAAAAACTTAAGAAATAACCCTGTCCAACAATGTTCAGAACCCAAACATCATTTGTAATAGTTTTCCACACATGGATATGGTCAGAGAGGCTAGACTGTGATATAGATGACAACACGTTAAGTAATAGTCATATGTATTGTAAAACTTGGCAATATTACAGGTCAATGAGCATCCAGCTATAGACTCATTTCGTCCCAATCTTCATCAGGAGTAATCCTATAGTAATGAGGGTGTCAGCCTCTTGCTACAGTTCAATGTTCTGTTTAAGAGCAACCCAATGTTTAATTTCTTCTTTATATTTTTCAAATAATCCTGAAAAATAACCCATGGTATTTTAAATAAATAAGCAACATGAAGCTGAATTTTCTTTAAAATATTTTAAAAATATAGGTTCAGCCTATAACAACCTTGTTAATGTGTTATAGCTTTAAGAAAGAGATGTTCAACATGCAGCCGCATGGACTCAATTAGAATAGTTGTCTTTATAGACTCTGGGGTCCTAGTTTGTTGTAGACAGCATTTTACCAGCCAATTTAAAATTGAAGGCTTCTAGCTGGGATGAGAGAAGAGGACTGGTTGCTACTACCATAAATATATACAGTGTTCATGGAGAGCTCTTAAGCCAGCAGGAGGCTTTTGCACCTATATAAAAGAAGACAAGACTGGCTTGCTCCTTTATAAACACTTGAACATGGAACCAGAAGTACGTTTTAAAAAAAATTAAAAACTAAATAATACAAATTATAAATTAATATGAAAAGTTAGTATAAATTTTCCATTCAGCTTCATACAGCGGAGGCAATAATGCGGTGGGACTTGCCACGGCACTGAAGGCAGTGATCATGGTTGTCTGACTGTGTCATTTTCACACCACACTCAGAACACTTTTTGAAAAGAGCCATTTCAGAGAAAGAAAAAATATTCTATGACTCCTGGGGTTTTTTTGGGGGGGGGGTGGATGTTTGGAAGCCCTCTAAGGATGCCACCTCAAAAGTCCAAGCAGCAAAGACAGAGATGTGTGAGGCCCTGGCAAACAATTAACAGTAATTTTTTTAAGGCAGTGGCCAGAAAACAGAAGGAGAAAAAAGGAGAAGAAAAGTTCCGACCAACAGTTGAAGAGTATGAGGTAGATAGCAGCTAGAGAGAGAAGCGTTCTGTCTTCACAGAGGTGAAGAGAAGACTGAGAGGATGGGTGTTCTCCCCACCTCCATTCCATGCTGGTTTGGATGGAAAACTCCCGCTCCCGTCAAAGGGGAAGGGGAGCACTCCAAATGTTCTAGAGAGAACCGGAAAGCTTTACAACTGATCTCGGCGGCAGGCCTGTGCAAACACAATCCCCACATGGGACTGCACGGAAGTCACAAAGATGAATTGACGCAATCTAGAGAGCTCTTTTAATTAAGCATACACAAGGGTTTGTGTGCAAAGAATGATTCATATAATTTTTTTCCTAATTAGTGC